GAAATTGAAACTGTGAAATCAAAATTTATAATTAAAATTTTGGGGTGGAGTGTTTGGATATGAAATTCTAATTGGTTAATTTGAATTTCACGTATGTGAATTGCAAGTTCACATAGATTTCATTTTCACGCACAACAGGGATAAAGGAAACATGAGATTAACTTGATATAAGGATCATATTTTCACTGGTAAAAAAGGCACTCATAAGAAGAATGACATTTATTTATTTATAATTGTAATTATAAAATTATTTGATCCATTGATTATTAGCTTTATGCCAGCCTTCAATTGATTTATCAGGATATTCATCAAATAAGTCAGCTTCACTTGAATCAGGAACTTCAGCCCAATCAGCTTTATCTTTAACATTATACAAACCAATCTTTTGGGTTTTGGCAGTGGTGTGTCAATTGCAGATGCAAACGGATAGCACTTTGTGTGAATGTTTTTTTTTAAAAAAGTAAATTGTTTATATTATAAATGTAAGTGAGTATTTAGCTACAAAATAAATAAATAAATAACTAACCCATTCAGAATATTTTGGATCATAGGCCCATAAAAATGCACCCTTTTTTACATTTTTTTTAGGGGCAGCATGAAATTATCTATTTTATTAAAAATTGCATCAATAGGCAAACAAAAAAAAATGGTAGATCAAAACCAAAATCATACAATCTATCCCAAGTAAGGAAAAAAGCAGTGTTACGGGATTTGAGCAATCTTTTATAAGTGTTAATAACGGATTTTTTTGGCCGGAACCATGAATCCGCTGTGGCGAGGTGTTACTGTAATCATTTAGCATCTATTAAGTGTATAATAATAAAATTCGACAGATGCGTGATTATTTTGTAAGTAATGAATGATCGAATTTACCAGTTAAAAAATTCCACGTGACTAAATTAACCGGTTAAAGAATTTTTGCGCGGTGCCAACCTCTATTTTGAATGTGGCATCAATACGACACTCTACGACGAGTTTCAGAATATCTTATAAAATTTTTACATCAGCAAAAAATTTCTAATTCGTACTATTCTCTATTAGTAATGATAGAAGGGTCGTCTAAATAATCCATGAAAAAAAGAGTGATTTTAATGTAGTATAATGTCAAAGTTTTATCCAGACAAAGCAACCCTCCAATCGTTTAACAGAATATAAACAATCCCAAGCCGAGGACCAATGTGTTTTTATGTATGCTTTAATTCCCACATCTCAAATTTTTTTATTGCTTCATTCAATACTT